AATGAGCTTAATACATAATCATTTAAAACTAAACAATGTAACCAGCATTGACTTAATGTGTTCAGAATGGACTCCTGTTACTTTTTTCTAGTAATCCTTCACACCTCATAATTATAAACTGTGTTTACTGTGCAAGCTTCAGTTGATCCACTTACCTTGTTTGATTAAATAGATTTGTCACAAACCAATTTTTCCCAGCAATATCAGCTTTTTTCAGCAAGTTTGCATAATAATTTCCAAAAGCATTTGAAGTAGTAGAGCAGCCATTCACCCTGACTACAATGTTCATTCATTAAATAATCCCCACCTTGGGTAGTCACACAAGGCAACAAGTAATCTTCCTAACAAAAGTCAAGCCAACAGGAGAATCAATTAACCAAGTTCTCCACAGTAAGCAAATGGTTAAAAATAACGTTGTTAATAAGCTCTCTTATTTAAAGCCCGGTCCACAAGTTTTTTCAAAAGCCAAGGGAGGAGAGGTATGTGCAAAAAGACAGAGTACTTCTCAGTGTCTTTGGGCCAGCAAACTGCATGATGTAGAAATCTCACTTTAAATCACAATGGCATTACTTCAATGAAAAAGAAGAAGGGGGAAAAAGTAGTTGAGGCTATTACAGTTCTCACGGAGGCGCTAGAAGACACTACTCTCTTCCGCCTCTTGTTAAGTTTCCCGTGTCTTCTCCCGTGCATTTATAATTCCTCTTTTCGGAGAGGGGAGGTTGCTTGAGAAAGGAAAGCTTCAAAAGGCGAGGGAAGATCCAAAGACCATCCTTGAGATGTGGGTGCCAACCATTATCCTTCTGTGCTTCCAGGGGGAAGCAGGAGCTCTCCTCACCGCCACCTTCACGGGGCAGGAGAGCTAAACGAGCAGAAAGCGGAGAAAAGTTGCAGGACCGGGGTGAAGAGCCCGGAGGGGGCCTCCTCGGAGTTTCCCTCTCACCGGAAAGCTGCGTGACTTTCGTGGGTCGAGGGCTGTTTTTCGGAGGCCTCAGGGGACCCACAGCGCCAGTGAGGAGTTTTGCGCCCCGCTTCTCGCTCTCAAGTTCGGCCTTCCCTGCCCAGGTAGCTCCGCCTCCTGCTTCCACATCCCCATCCGAGGTAGCTAATTCGGGGATGCTCCCCAAGGCTTCTCCGAGTCCCCACGACAGCCGGCAGTGGCGAGCTGGGCCCAGGAGAGCGCTGCAGGAAAGCCGAAAAGCTCCAGGAGGCGGTCGGTCCCTGCTTCAGCGGGGCCCTTGGCCGCCGCCGCCGCCGCCG